AAAGGATGTGGAGAAGCTTGAGAGAGTCCAGAGAAGAGCCACGCGCATGATCAGGGGTCAGGAAAACAGACCTTACGACAACAGGCTGAGCGCTATGGGGCTCTTTAACCTGGAAAAACGCAGGCTCAGGGATGATCTGATGGCCACCTATAAGTTTATCAGGGGTGACCACCAGTATCTGGAGGAACGTTTGTTCACCAGAGCACCCCAAGGGATAACGAGGTCAAATGGTTATAAACTACTGCGAGACCATTTCAGGCTGGACATAAGGAAGAATTTCTTTACTGTCTGAGCCCCCAAGGTCTGGAATAGCCTGCCATCAGAGGTGGTTCAAGCACCTACATTGAACACCTTCAAAAGTAAATTGGATGCTTATCTTGCTGGGTTCCTATGATCCCAGCTGACTTCCTGCCCTTTGGGTGGGGGGCTGGACTCGATGATCTTCTGAGGTCCCTTCCAGCCCTCATATCTATGAAATCTATGAAATCAATGAGTGCAGGAGTTATGCGACGTGATGTGTAAGTTCCTCCTGCCCCGCAAAATGGCATTAATATGCCATTAATGGCCTCTTTAAAATCTTTAGGTGCAAATTCCTATCTCTACAGCAACAATCCACTAAAAATTATAGAGGACAAAAACTGAAGTGGATAGTTAAAACTGAATAATGAATAATTTACAGCAACACAAAATAATTTCCTTTACCCTGAGCAGAAATGCTATATATATAATTTTTATTGTTGTCTCCATTATAGTTGGTACTTTAAGGATGTTTTCTTTGTATATAAAAGGAGAGGAAGTGAGAGGAAGGTGGGGGAGACAGAGAGAGAGAGAGAAGAAAACATCTTTAAAGTACCAATATATAATGCAAACAATAAAACTTTTATAGCTAAAAAAGACAAATAGTCTTTCAGGAGAATTTTCTTTGAAGGTGCCTGCAGCTGTGAAAAAAAAAATTATTGCTGACTTGACAGCTCTGTGGGTGAGAGTGAGTGACAAGGAAGTTTGCTTCTCCAGGAATGTGGGTTTTCTACATAACCACAAGCACAATGCAGTTCCTCACACTTTTGCCAGTCTAAGATTGTCCACTTGCTGCTACGGTTGTGTCTTTAGAAAGATTACATGCAGAATGCTGATAAAAATGGCTCACTTTGACTGCACAAAATCTTTTCATTTTTCAGAATGAAAGAATGGGAGAGGGTGAAAACCCAGACAGAAAATTGCATTTTGCCTGGGCTTGTTGGGACCTGAACTCTCAGAAACACATGTACCTTATTTGGAACAGAGCACATTTATAACCTAGCTGAATAATAATTTACCGGCTGAATGGAAAGCATTTTGAAAAATGGACAAGAAGAACTGCATTCACTGATATAGCTAATGGTATCAGATGTGTTGGAGAAGGTGATGAAGCATAAACTTTCTCACTTGGATACTAATTCAAGCATTCTCAAAGGCTTTCTTATGTTGCCTAACACACTTTCCATTTCAAAAGATTCTTGCCACCTTTAATAGTCTTTAATTAACCCCTGCTGCAGGTCTTTGAAATGCAGTAGGGTGAAAATCTTTGGGCTAGAGAGATGACTTTTGTTGGTATCATTGAATTCTCTTCTAGTTTAGTGAAACACAAACTTTTGAAAAACACTTTTTTTCCCTTCAGGACTAGATTCAGTAAATGATTTCAGTTCCTGGGTTCTTAGGCCCAAGCGTAGAATACCAAACCCTTAGGTACTTCAGAACGGTGACTCAAAAAACCTACATGCTGACCTAGAGCTAGCCAACAGGAAACACTTCAGAGAGGGCTGCATCTCAAGTCCCACTCCTCCAGTGTTTACTTTAGTCCCCTGAGTAAAGGCTGCAAACAGGTACCTCTAATCTGGCCTTACTTTTTCCTTTTAAAGCATGATCCAGGGAAGTGATGGTGCATGTGCTGGTTAGAACACTCAGGATGAGGAAGATTCAGGTTTCATTCCTTGCTCAGCCTGAACAAGAGACCTAGGTTCTGGTTCGGGTCCCAGAGATCATTTCAGTATTTTACATTAAACAGTCATTTGAAATATAGAAATGGTCCCTGGAGTAGAAACCACTAATCCTAATAAAATTATTCTCCTTCTTGCTCGCACACTCTCTCTCTATGACCCTGTAAATCTTGTATTCTTCAAAGCACAGTGGCATAGCTTCAACAGATTAACAGAGGACTGTCACATGAGCCCCAAAACTTGCAAATAAAGAATTTGTTTGCAATTATTCAGCTGGTCTAATAAAAGACATCACCTCTGCCAAAAGTTCTGTATCTTTTTTGCCTGTAGACCAACATGGCTAAAACTTGTATCCCTGCACAGATTAACCTGGAGTTGTGTTTAGGGCACTCTCCTGGAAGGTAAAAAATATGAATGTGAATCCCCCCGACTGAGAAGGAAATGAACATAGGCCTCCTACTTCTTGGCCATGTACATTACACCTACCAAATTAAGTCCCCCTGGGAGTTAGGCAGAGAAGTATCTAGTTTCTTCATCCTGATCAAATTAGATGGGAGATATTTGCCAATCTACTCAATCTAGGTTTATTCCAAACTAGCTCAAAAATGGAATCTGCCCCAACCAAGCTCTGAACGCCAGTGGGGAAAGTTTCAATGCCTCCAGCGACAGACAGCATCCAACAGATTTTTTTTTCCCCATTTGCAATTTTGCACTTGTGCACTTCAGCTCTGAATATGTCATGCTTCAGGACCTAAGTCCTGTAATGGACCAAGCCATCTACCTCTTGTATTTCTCAAGAAATGCTTGACAATATAACAAAAGAAAATCAACTACTGCAAGACCATTTCAGGCTGGACATAAGGAAGAACTTCTTTACTGTCCGAGACCCCAAGCTTTGGAATAGACTGCCGCCAGAGGTAGTTCAAGCACCTACTCTGAACACCTTCAAAAGACATCTGGATGTTTATCTTGCTGAAATCCTATGCCCCCAGCTGACTTCCTGCCCCTGGGGCAAGGGGCTGGACTCGATGATCTTCTGAGGTCCCTTCCACCCCTAATGTCTATGAAATCTATGAAAGATGAATAGTTTAAACAGCTGGGACTTTACTATGGACAAAGCTGCAGCATCAATGTGCATCAGCAGCGAGAAAAGAGAGGAAGAGAGCTTGACCAACCAAGCCGACTCCTGACCATTTCAGTAAAATCCATTAAAACAGTGGCTTGAACAATTCTCCAGCTTTTCACGTTATAATAAAAAGAGTGTTGTATTGATCAGTTTCTCACTTGCGTAATCACTCAGTCTGCTTCCTTTTATTTTTGTGAAAGCCACGTTTCCCCATAGTAAACCTGATGTTCCTTTTAAGGCAAAAAATAATTGGTCCTTTTAAAAAAAACATATTGTGTCACAAGGTCTACTTTGGCTCTTCATTTCATCCATCCCATCTTAACTGCAAATAAACTGAGTGAACACTATACGAGCTAAGTACTCCATGAATCATGGGTTAGCCATAGATTCCCAAGCTACACGGGTCTTCACTTCCAGAAAACCTAGGATTTTTTACAGGAAGCCATATGTATACACATTAGCAATCTCTCTATAAAATCCTAGTGAAAAAAAGGCATGGATACTTGTTCTTTCTGTGCAACTTGATGAGGTCAACACTACATCCCTACTTACCTGTATCTAAATAAAAACTTCAACTGCAGCTCCCAAACTAGGAGTCTTATACTTACAAATGGAGTTGCATCCCCAGTATAAATTCAGCTGCAGAAATAGGGTTGCAAGCTTGGAAGCCCAACTGGGAATGGGGTCACAAGTGGAGGTAGCAGTGGAAACGGTTCCTAAGCACTGAACTACAGTCTTGCTTCTGCTAGAATTCTCCGCTAAGATAACTAACGTCCATTACTCATCTCACTACAAACAATACTTGTTTTGGCACCAAGAGCTTAATAGTCTAATATATCAGATTATTATCTGGAGGAGGGAGCAAGATAAAGTACCTACATATCAGCAAATTTCTGGTAAGGAGAAAACATATCAGGAATTAAATGAGAGAAATTGTGAGCTTGTGAATGTTCAAGCTAGTGAAAGTACAAAGGAAGAATGAAAGAAAGCAGGCACTAACACTGCTAGAGTCTTCTTTTGTCCTGAAATGCAATGGAAATTAATCTTCTCTGCTAGCAGAAGAACAGAAAGGATAAAACAGCCCTCAAAATAAATAAAAATGGAGGGCTCATTGTTTGAAAATTAATCTAAAAAGATTCTAGCTGTGGATAAGATCAGACTTCCTCATCCTATTTCAGAAAGCTGAAAAGAGAATTCATTATTTTATCACTTCTCAGTTTTCATACATATACATTTTTTTAAATCTTCTTCTTACTCATATTTGTATAGGTGGCAAATGAACATAAAATCATTTACAGATGAGCAGAATAAGCTGCTAAGCAATAAAATATATACTCTGAAATTTAAAATCCCTTAACGCTCTAAGCCTGAAAGAATGAAAAGCAAAAACAACAAAGTTTGTATCAATGATCAGACTTTAATTTCAGGAAAGTTAACAGTTTTCTACCATCATCATTATAACAACTCCATATCTCTTTCATCTTGTTCTGAATGTAGGATTTGTCAGCCTTCCCATGGAAACAATTGAACCTAGAAATTCAAAGAAAAGAAAAAAAAGAAATAGTGTGTATATGTATGTATAAAGTTATATACGGGTAACTATAACTATGGATTTTCAGTATCCATTGTTAAGACAGAATGAAAACAAGCTTTTTATTCTGTTTTTTCTTGTCAATAGAAAAATACCACAGTGAAATGTAATGACACAAAAACATTAAAAATTCCATTTCCCTTTCCAACAGAGCTGACCCCTGGCCATCTTTATATGAATAGGAAATCTGTCCAAAGCATATTGAATTGTATTATGTCTATGCTACATCTGAATAGCTGGTAGCACCCTAAGCTGCATTATTTGTTCCAATCCTTTCCATATAACGTATGGTGCATGTACATATAGTGTTATATATGCTGTTGCTTTTTTTCCTGTGTACTGGAGATTTTTTAGGAACATATAGATTAGGAAGTCCATAGTTAGGATGGTATTGTAAAAAAGGCTTTAAAAAAGGTATAATCGGAGCTAGCCAATTCAGAGCTGTTGAAAGAAGGCAGTTTGAGTTGGTGACCACATTTGGTGAAAAAATCAAAAAAGCAAGGAAATGAAAACTTAAGCCATCCAACATACATACTGCTGTTTCTCTACTCCTTCATCAATGCAAACACATGCTTTACCATTTCCATTGTAACACCTCAAATCAAGCACCACACCTTACCCTCTCTGTCCCCCTATGGAAACCAGCTTTCCATCCATCAACTTTTCTGCATACAGCCCTTAACTACTACACCAAACATGCACAGCTGCTAGTGTTGGGGAGGAATCTAATGTATCATCATAAACAGAATAGCAGAAAAAGATTGGTTGAGGGTGTAGTGTATGAACTTTGGTGAATAATAGTCACGTTACTTATAAAATATGTGCTTGTTCATGGAGAAGTAGTGTGTATGTTCTGTTCAGTGGCTAAGTTTTTGATTTCCCCAATATTGAGGCTATATGCCAGAAATGTTGAAGATATTTCCTGCCCTAATTATATGATAATGAAGTTGCTTCTTATAAGCATTTTGCTGTGTTTAAGGAAAGGAGTCATTTTATTCCTAGACTTAATATTGCCTTTACAGAGAAGATGCACATGTTGTGTTCTCTCATGAAGACTTTGGTTTCATTTTTCCTGGTCTTCTTCATCATGTCTCCAATCCAACCTTTCTATATGGTCTGTCCCCAATATTCTGCACAGGCCACTGCTTCTGGTGTTGGTGCTGCCAGATCTTGTGGGGTAGATTGTGGTGCTACAGGGCATCTCAGGAGGTGATCCATGGTTTGCTTCTCCTGACAAACACATTGGTTGGTTGCATAGAGGTCCCATGATATCATGAGAAAGTTGCATCTTCTAAGACCCACACTTAATGTGTTCAGGCTCCACCAGGTATGCCACTTGCAGTTGAAGCCAGATGCTAACTCATCACTGGGGGTAATTCCTCGATGATTCCTGGTTATTTTCCTGAAATAACTAGGTCAATGGGATCAAAAGTAGAGCGTTGTTCTTTGGGTGGTGAAGAAACAAATGGAATTAAACCAGGACAGTTATCCTGAGTCAGTATTTATCAATGCAATTTATTTGCTAGCTTCCCCACTGTTACAACCAACATGCCAAAAACCCTGCTTCCGTTACTTCCATTACTATGAACAACTTCTGTTTTGCAACTACAGTGCAATACACATGTAGTAGAGTGCTGTGAATAAATTGTAAACTCACCAGCACGGAAAGTAATGTTTTTGCAAGAACAAAACAAAACAAAACAAATCCAACTGGTCTGGTTTCATTGTGACTCATGGCTTTGACTCATAATGGAGAAAAGCCTGAAAAAGCAGAGAGAAGCCTGAGCAATGAGGTTCTCATCAGTAGGGCTTTAAAGTTAGGCATGGGGGAAGGGGAGGAAAAGGAGGCACAGGAACATGCATCAGCTGAAGCTCTTGTAGCTATTTCATCTGTTCATTTTACTCCACTGTAAGTGGAAGCTAAACCACAGTGATTAGCCTTCTGTTTCATTCAAGGATAAACCATTGTGGTTTAGCTTTACTGACTTCAAGATAGGAGCAGACAAATGAAACAAGTTGCAACAAATCAGCTGCTACACATTCACATGACTAAGTCTTCCACACTTTAAAATGGATGAATTGTTCATCTGCCCATTCACTGTTATAGTGTTAGGAAAAAGGTGTTTGTCTGAGCTTATCTGATCTCTCATTCCAAGTTTTCATTTTGAAAAGACAGATCAAAACAGCATCTTCAGTTGCTTTAGGCTAGTAGAAAAAGGCTGCTGTAAAGAGTTTCTCACCCACAGTTTAAATGTATTTACAATATGTGCCTTACTGTGCCTCTTCTACATGTTACTTTCTGACACTTCAAGCCGGTTCACACAATTGGCTTTAGGCAAGTTCAGTTTAAACCTACCCTGGAAAACTTTACTGTCATTAGACCCACTTCCTTTGTGGTATGACCTCTTCATGACTTCCTGCTATTGCCATCAAGCATTTCAATTTGCTTCCAGTATTAAATATAGTAAAAATCTTCCCTCCCCAGTTGGAAGTCTCTTTTTAAAGTGAATTTAGTGCTAGGGTAGTGTCAGACTGACAACTCTTGAAACTGAAGTCTTTTATTTATCCATAATAAAAGACTCCCATAAAATGGGAGAAACACAGGCACTGCAGTACAGCCTACTCCATGCAGCCCAGAAGGGGGGAAACTTTCATTGGGTTTCTTTCACAGAACTGCCTCCCCTCGGCTGATATGCTACTGAAAATGCTAGTGAGCTTACCTCCAAACTATATGTAACCTCAGGGGTCCATACAAAATCCAGGTAGCACATGCAAAGCTAGACCATTGTTGCACAAATGCTGTGATATAACCTAACTGTAGTCCACAGCAATATCTGCCTCCTTGGTATTTCTTGGAAAAATTCCAAAAAAACACTTCTTCATTTGAATTTACTAGTTCAACATCAAAACACTTTGCAGAGGTGGTTTGTTTTCCACATGGCTCTATCAGAGATGAGGCACCCTTAAAAAGCTTTCTGATGGAAATCTGTCTAGTTTCCTGATACTTCTGTTTGATTCTACAATAGTCCGCCCACCCTAATCTGCCAGATTTCAGGGTTCAGTGGTGCCAGGCATGCAGACTTCCCCCATGTTATGGGCTTTCCCTTTGCTACACATCTTTGGAGAATTTTGTTCCTAACTAGAATTAACCCAGCTTGCAAAATAGCAAAACCATCTGCAATATGGTTTTACTTTCCCCCACATAGCTGTAATTTATAAGGCATTAAATAGTCACTCACAGCATTCAGCAATTTGAAAAAAACAACCCCCCCCCAAAAAAAACCCTTTCCTATTTAATTAAAAAGACCTTCACTATCTACAGTCCTACAGTTTATCAAGAGTCTTTTGGGACTCTTATGCTTCTTCTGCATACAAATTCATTGCTGATTTTTCACCTGGATACATTATCTTGGATGGCAATGGTCACATACTGACAGAAAATAATATATGGGATTCTAGCCTTTCTTTTCTTGCTACTCACATTGGCACTGTGGAGTTAACATTTCTGCCCCTACACCATTCGCTATTATGATACAATGTTCTTCATATGCAGTCCCATTACACCCAGAAAATTGCTCTCTGTGGTCATCGTGGGGCTTTTTTTCCCCACAAGTGTCAGGCCTTTTCTTGTTGGCCATCCATCTGGAGTTACTCTCT